AGCCCAGGGAGCGCTGCCGGCACCGGCTGTGGCGGGAGCTGCGCACTGGCAAGAGAGCAGCACCTTGGCTCCCCAGTTTCCGAGGCTCCCGTCTCCTGTTGCGTGTGTTTGCTGTTGTGGGAGTAGTGGGAAGAGTCAGTGATAAAAAGAGGTCTCCTAGGTTAGTTTTCAAGGCTTTCTTTTTTCTTGTGTGTGGCTGTCTGGATGATTAATGTGAATAGGAAAATACCGTTGACCCATTTAGATCATGTTAGACAACATCCATTGCTCATCTACATAATGAAATACACACTGAACATTATGGCCTAAGTATAAGAGCCAGTAAACTACAAAAATAATATTTTACTCATTTAGATTATGAAGTAAAATATAGGACATTAGTACTAATCATAGTATTAAATTTTAAGCTATGCAAATTGTAATTGTCAGTGAAAAAGAACTATAAGTTGAAAGGCTATTAGCGTTTCAGCTTTAACTGTTAATTTGAGTAATTTTTTTTTGCTAGTGTGCAGCAGTAGAAAAGTCTATATGCAAAATATTTAATAGTAAGTGCAGAAGTGTTTGTTTTATACTGTTATTTAATTTCAGTCATTAAAGAGATGTTAGAAAATAATTTGCAATATTAAAATATATTAACATTTTATATTACAGAGAGTAAACTGCAATCTTTACTTGGGTAAAATCAGCTATAGAAGGCAAATTATTAGTAACCAAAAGATGAAATAATTTTAAGCATTTATTTAAGTACCAAAGCAAATAGTGAAGCCTTTAAAAGTATGGATTTTCTCAAATAGAAACATAATTGTCAGCATTTTCAACTAAATACAAATTTTAAAGTACTGAATTTTGCCTGACAGGTTTCTATGGTTACCTACCTTTCCAGTAGTTTGGTAAATCAGCCTGTGAGTCACTAGTAATTATTTGGTTTTTTGTTTGTTATAGTTGTAATTCTGTGTTCAGTTTGAATCTAATACAGTTCACACCACATGCTTTGGTTTATGTATATTTTAGTGTGTATGATTGACAGTGATTGAGCATTTCTTATGGAGTGCTTGGTTTTTTTTGTCATAAGTGATGTATGTTGGTACTTCTGAAAATGTAAACAACTTCTTCCTGTATCACTGTTTGATAAACAGGGACTTTTATGCTAAGAAAGAGGTCTTTGTAAATGTTAAGCATGAAGATAAGTGAAAGGTATTTTAAAGATATTTAAAACAGCTTCCAAACATTATACCCTACTCTTCCAAGTTTGAACCATAATTCGATCATTATAATTCATTCAGTGACCCAAATGTCACATATTTATGAATAAGCTTCCAAGTTATGCATTAATAGCACATACTAATGACTGACAGGTTTAAAAATAAATGTTTTAATCAGGATGCTACAGGTTATCTGCGGCAAGCACTTGATTGGAACGTCTTCCTGGTGCAGAGCATCTTCTTAAAAAAATAAAAAAAAAGCGCTTATTTCCACCACCACAGTAGTTTAGTAGAAACAGCTGTAAACTCTTACACCTCTCTGCTCATATATCTGAATTATAGGATGTAATTCCCTAACCTTAACACTTGTCAGTCTAGCGAAGGACATATACGTGTTTTCTCAGTAAAGGCTTAACTGTCCTAACGTAACTTGTGTTTTCATGTGAAAACAGGACAATACAAGTCATTCACAACTTTTAACACAAATCAAAAAACACTGCTAGCTGTCATTTTTACCAAATGAGTAGTGATATAATCTTAATTAGTTAACCCATTCATCCCAAACTTGCTAGCCATGTGCACTTTTTTTTTTTTAATTTTGGTATAAGACTGGCTTATGATTCAGAAATCGCATTGTGTCTTTAAAGATTTGGCTGCAGGTGTATTGAAAATACTTACTGCAAGGATTCTTATACTTTGTGAAGGGAAAAGACCGACTACCCATCCTCTTACCATGTCTCAAGCTACGTAGAAAATCCTGATACAATGTTCAGGAGCGTTCCTAAATTTTCTGTGCAAAGATTACTCTTATTTCAGCAGTGTTGCTCACCCGCTGAAAGGGTTTCTGTGGGAAGTGGTTTTTTGTGGTGATCCAGACATATTTTTCCATTTCAGGTGGAAATTTAAGAGGTTAAAATAGGATTTATTTTTAACATTTAATATTGATTCAGGCATGTATGTAGGACATAAACATGCCAGTTGAAAAACAGTTGTTTCGCAGAGCACCTGAAAAGATTTTATCCCAGTAGGATTCAATGAATGTTAAAGCTGTGGGTGGGTGCATATAAACAACAAGATTTGGTATTGTGCTGTGTGTGAGGACTATTTGAATAGCTTTTTATTTTAATCTGAAACTGATATTTTTTTAAACTGCATAACTTGTTACAATAATTGTTACTTCCCAAAAAAATCGAAATCATTAGTACAATAAGCAATCTTTCAAGCAAAAGTAATTTCTCTGATCTTTTAAAAAAACTAGGGATAAACAGAAAGTGATTGAAAAATGTATTTAAATATGCAAGCCTGAACAGTTATGTTTCTCATTCTAATTTATTCACTTTATGATAAATTAATTTACTCAATATAGGAATGCAGTAACATAAGAGGAATGTTTCTCCTGCTAGTCACAGAAGTTGATACTTGCCAGATGCTGTGATCTGGAGCCTAAATTCCCTTGATATTAACTGTGATTGAAACTCTTAATATTGCTTTGTCCAGCTTTTGTACTGGACTTGTTCCATTTTACTGTAATACTGCTTTAGTCAACACTGTCTTTTTATTTTCTACTAGTGTTATTTTATCAGAGAGAGAAAATATAGTAGAAATAGCACTAGCATGTAAGGCTCTATTGGAAAACTGCAATGCCCTGTTCTCAAAGTTAAGCTTGTACAGCCTGATCCTGCTTTCTGTAACAGACAACTCATTTTCTTTGGTATATTAATGAATATTGTTCAGATATAGTTAGATTGTACTCTTCATTCTTTAAATCCTATAATACAATGGGGAAGTAATGATACCAGAATTTTACTCAGTTATTTCTTATACTGCCTTGGTGTGACTCTGTGTGTATGTATATATCCATCCATCCATATACATATATAAATATATACGAAACTGCTCAATTGGTCAAAGGAGGTTTTAATGATATAATATTAATTTTTCCTTTTCTTCTTGTTTGTTAAAGTTGCACTGTTGGTTGCTGCTGATAAAAGGTGGCACCGAGCCAGCTTCCTAAAGGAGCTATGAGGAGGGTCATGGCTTGTCATGACCTGGGCACTGGTACTTGAATGTTGTTATTATTGGGATGAAGTACCCTTAGGCTGCCATCCTTCCTGTAAATAGAAGAGGTTCTGATTCTCAGTGGTTTTCCAGTTTACCAACTTGTAGAACAGCTATTTTGTTGGCCCTAAGTTTGACTGAATAATGAATTAGAAGCACGGAACTATTCCAGATAGAACTAATCCAGGCATGGATTCATCATTTTAGTCTGTTAGTCTAGACTAAATCATAATAAGTAAAGAATCTGTTTCCATATAGTTTATAAATTTACTCCAAATTTAAAACCTGATTTGTATTGGCATACAGCAAAACAAATTGCCCAGTTCCACTCTGCATGAAGGGCAGAATTGTAATTAGCAGGGAGCATATCTGAGGGCCAAAATCGACTTCTTTCAGTGACACGGAGGAATCCCAGCCATGTCGGCAGAGGGGCTGATTCTGCTCCCTTGGAGTCCGTCGGCATTTGACTGTTCCTTTGCTTTATTGCCTCTTAGGAGGGTAACAAGAACAGCAACTCTTGTTAGTGCCTTTGTTAAATAAACAAATCGTCATTAATTTCCAGATAATTTAAATAATTAAATAAAACAATCCCAATTAGAATATAATGTTTGCAAGATAGTGGCCTATGTTTCAGTTTATCAGAGTAGAGTCATAAGCATGCTGTTGTTGATGTTTTCACCAATGTGTTGCTGTTGTAACTGAAGTCACATCTATCCTGATGAATATTTCATTTCCCCAATCATGCTATTAAAAACAGAGTGTTTTTACCCTTTCATTTCTGTTTTCTCTTCTCCAGTACCATCATGACAGCTGTGGCTGTGTCCTGTTTACAAATTGCTGCTAGTCACATTTTCAGTAGTCCTTACGGGTTTTGCTTTCCCCTAATGCGTCCAATTAGGAGGAAATATTTCTCACGAGCATGGACTTGCTCTTCTTCTTGTAATGGCATAGTTCTGCAATCCAGGAAACAGTGCTGCATGGTGTCCATGTCCACGATTTCCTGATGTGGGAAAAACGTGTGGAAAGCATCTGGAGAGGAGGAGACCCCCTTTACCAGCTTGTTTCCTGTAAGCGAAATTGGAAGACCTTGTCTGTGCAAATAGATTTCAAAATAGAGTCTGCCCTTTGACTGTCTCCATAATTACACAGCGCTCTCTGTATTTTATTTGGCTGCCAGAGCAGTTAACCCCTGGAAGTAAGGGGCTGATGATGGCGTGACCAGCACGGGTATGCAGACATGACCATGTGAATACACTCTTGTTTGGAGAAGCCTGTTGTTAAGACCTTGTTACAATATACTTTTACCAAATTTGAAAATTATTATGTGTTGGATTATGTTGATTAAGATACGTTATATCCTTAGTGCACAGAAAATGTGGAGGTATTAGTTGCAAAAAAGGGAAAAAAAGAGAAGCAAAAAAAAAGTTCTTTTGTGGCTTTGATGTAATCAACATCTGTCAACAGAATGAATTTGCTTTTGTTTAATTTCAAGGGCTCTTGTCCTTCTACTTTGCCCAATCAGTTTCAACTTATGCCTCAGGCATTTCCCTGTGTTGTTCTTGGGTTTTTTCCTTTTTTTTTTTTTTTTTTTTTTTTTTTTTTTTTTTTAGCAAATGCACAGGTTATTGCTTGTGAAATGTGAGCTGCTCTTCTGCTACACAGGTTACACAGAGCTGGAAAAAACCTTTAATCTTTCCCATCCTATTTTTGAAGCTTGGGCATACCTTTGCAACAGGGGGATTACAAAGTCAGTGTTTTATTAGACAGTTAGAATTACGATTACAAGTAAAGGTCTTTCAAACCACAGCCATTATTTCAGATTGAAAAATGGGAACATTTGGTAATTAGCAGTAAAAAGCCATATATTCTTACCTAGTTGTCTTGGCTGGATTCCACATATTGTTACCCATAATAATTTTTATACCTCACTTTAAACTTTTATTCCTCTGAGGTTTCAGCAAAATGAATATTTGCACAAGAAGATAAATTATGGTAGAATATTAAAATTACTTGACAAGACCTCTAGTGTTTTACCCCCAAATGGGTATATGCTGTCTCCACAGTCATTCTTTTTTGCAGTTTTAAAAAAAGATTAAATCACATATTTTGAAAAGAGTTGTCAGAACAATGCTTTTGATGTTATTAACTTTATCAAGAGCAAGTTGATTTTATTTCCTAAATGGTTTGGATGTTAATTCTTGTAATCCTAAATAATTTTGGTACTGTGCTTCCGTTGATACTATGACTAAATTATTTTAAAATACATTAATTTATTTTTTGTCTCTTAAGATGTATCCTTGTATTTATTGTAGCTTAGAACTGTCACGAAGTTTATCCATTGGTAATGCTTTTGCTAATTGCTTGGAAAATTGAAGTCTTTTATAAGTAAATACCAAAAAAAAAGGTTGCTAACAATCACATTTGATGAATCATGTAAATTAACAGGTTTTTTGCATGGCTACCTCATACCTCATTCATTGAAAACATAGCTTGATAAATTGCTGTAACTGTTAAATAAGAAGCATTAGAAAAGGGCTTATATGAAAGTTCATTTCCAATATCTCCCATTAAAAATACTTCTTGACCAGAGGAAAATCATATTTAAATTACTAAAATCAACTTAATTAAGGGTCATTAATAGAGATACACATAAAAAACTCTCCACTCTATGAGTGAAATGGGAGCATTTCATTATATAGTGTAGCATGCATGAACAGATAACAATTAAAATAGCCCTAGAGTAAAAGGCTAATAAATATAGGGCACATTGTGCTGCGAAATCAGTCACTTAAAAATGCTCCTACCCATCATAATTTTGAATGCCGTATTCAGCCACTCTGACTGACTCACTTAAACAGAAAAAAAAAATAAACGTAATTTCCACACAAGATAAATTCCTCTGTAATTCACGAGAGCTCACAGTGCGCATTTATATCGTTAATGCAAACAGAGGTCTGGAAGGTGTGCTGAGGAATCCGGCGGCTCCGGCAGGACGTGCGTGCGCTGAGATTGCACAGTGAGGTTCACTGCCGAGTCAGCGGAGCGGTTGTCAGTAATTTCTGTGCTTGCTGCATTGTATCTGCTGATGGGATTCGGTAGTGCTGGTGATAATTCTCCTCCCTGCAGCTGATAGTAAATATTCTGATACTCGTGGCAGGTGACGTAGCCTTGCTGTTGGGGCAGAGAATAAACACGTAAAGGGTCAACTTTGCATCCTGGCTGTGCTGGTCTGTTACCAGGCTGCCCGGCTGCACACTCCGGCTCTCTCCGGTGGCTGCAGTTTCTGCTGGAAGATGCATTAAGCCCATGTTTATGAACTGTCTTACAGTAATTAATACACACAGAAAGCTTAACAAAAAGAATGTGCTTGAGCACCAGTGTTGCAGAAGTAAATAAAGGCACTGAGAAAAGCTTTGATGGTTGTAAGGGATGGGGTGGAGGGAATCTCTGAGCCAGACTTGGAGAATACAGACAGTTGTTCCTGTCTTGGGTGATTGATGATGTTGCTATATCGAATTAGCTGTGAATATGGGAGCTTAAAAAAGAAAAGGAGCTGTGGAGGCATCAGAAGGCCTTCTTAAGGAAGGAAGTGTATGGATGGAGTCCAGATTTTCATTATAAACCAGTAACTTCATTATATTTTAATGCCGTTTTATTTAATTTTATTTTTACTTTGTAGGAGAATGTTTTCTCTTATAATTTTTTATATTTCTAAGAAAGGTTTAGTTGTACTGTTTTTATAATTCTTGTGATATAATTTAGGAATTGTATTATACTATGGTGATATTTATTTGCATGTTGTATTTCATCTGTTCAAATAGTAGATATTTTTGTATGCATCTGGTTTATAATGAGTAGTTAGTAGAATAACAACAGGTTACAGTAGCTTATTATCCTGTTATTTTGTGACAACACTTACAGTGTATCTTTGGGAGAACGGAGGTAAAAATTTTATTCCAAATTAAAAGATATCCCTTCTGAATGTGGGCTAGTCAACGGGCATGCACCCGTGAATATGGTTTCATGTATTTAAGAGTGTGTATTTGGGAGTGCGTATTGTGAATAATTGACAAGCACACTTGCACCTTTTCTCCCCTGATTAAATTTTGACACAGTAGACAACATGCCCAGGGAGTGTGCTGGACGTCAGGGAGAGCATTTGAAATAGATGTTCGCATATTGATGTCCACATGGACTTTAGTTGACCACATCAGTGACTGTGGGATTTCAATATATTTATAATACCTTTAGCTGTGGTAAGAGCAAGGTACTTCCACTGTGCTCTGTAAAAGAGGTACCTTAAGCTTATGCTGGCAGAGTGAATTCTAGTTCTGATGGCCCAAAAGTTGCTGCTTCAGCAGATTCTGTGCTTCCAGCTTCCAGAAATGAGTGCAAACTAGCCAGGGAGTTTGTAGGATGCTTTGGGTTCTTTGGACACACTTACAGGCGCAGGTTAGGTGACTGTTTCTTTTTTTCTTGTTTGGGGTTTTTTTGTTAATTGGACAATGATTTTTTTCCTTATGAGGAGACCCTAGGACAGCAGTAGATTATGAGGCTGCTGATTAAATTCTAATTAATGCACCACCAAACACATCCAGCTCTCTGTTAACTGGGCAGCTCCACTTCCCTGGGAGGCACTTTCTTCCCTTTTGAAGCAGGCAACTTCCACTGGAGTTCTTGGGTTATACTGAGAGCTTGATCTGAGCCTCACCCTTCAGCTCCACTTTGTTACTTATCAACAATTAAAAAAAAAAAAACAGTAAAAATTTACTTGCCTTGAGTAAAAGTTTCTACAGCCTTTCAGAGACTGGTAACTAAATGTAACACTAATCAGTGTGCAGAGAGATGATCAGGAACACTTCCAACCAGATGCAACTACTTCATTCAGTCTGTGTTTTGGGGCTCCAAAACAGTGTGTAACTTGAATTTCCTGTGTGTCCTGGAATACTGTAAAAGGGCTGTCTATGAATAAGTGTGCATGTGGAAGGATAATTTCTGCATCTGAACATGATAAATGCATCCAAAGGAAGGAAGGTACAATAAAATAAAAACATGCAATATATGCAAGAAACTCTTCTAAAAAAAATAATTTTAAGATAGTTACAAAAATGCAGTAGATTAATTTCTTAATTTCTGTGATATAAAAATGTTGAGTTACTTCTGTTTAAACAAAAACTTTTTACTGAAGAATAATTATTCATCTGGATTACTTGCCACAGGATTGCTCTTGTGTTTGTGTACATAATGGCATTTTTCAGAAGCAGATCAACTATTATGTTAAACAACGTTTCAGAAAAAAAACTCTGTTTTGATTGTAGAACATTTGAGTAATGGAAATATACTCTATGTGTAATTGCAGCGTAATTGGGCAGTGCCAATAATCCTTTTGAATTTCCCAGTTTTGATGCTAGCATAATTTTTAGAGGTACATTATTTTGGTTTGATGTCTCTGAGAACCTTTGGGCCTCAATACCCATTTTTCCCTTTTTCTTTTTTTTCTTCTTCTTTTCTGAAGGGGCAAAATATGTCATTGCCCAACAGCTAAGCTGGAGCAATTAAACTGATGAACTGTCATCCCAAATTCTCACGTGAATTAAATGGAAATCTAATTCAAATATTCCAGATAAATGTCAGTTTTTAATCCCTTCAATTGTCTTGGGCCAAGATTAAAAATATTTCCTGAAGTTTGTTCTGTTGCCCGGCTAGGCAAGACAAAATGAACCCCATTCCTTGCGTCTTGAGCAGCAAGACAAAGAGCAGCATTACTTTTGTTATGTTCAAATCTGTGACCAATTCTGCAAAAATACAGCCCAAAATATTATCTGAAATAACATTAAATCTTTTTTTTTTTTCCTTCTCTTTTCTTGCTCTTGTCCCTTATTCACTGTTTTGCCAAGCTGCACTTTTGGCAGTGCAGCTTCTGGCCGTGAAAATTCTCCAAGCAGGGGCCAGTTGGAGGATCACTCCTGTCTGTAAACTGTGGGGAATTTACCCACACTGTTTTTTAATGCATCAAACCAAAACAATCTGATATTTTATAAACCTTCGAAGTATTGCTTGGGATGGTCTTTTTGTCCTCATTTCTTCTTCTTGTTATTGCTCTTTCTATGACAGTACAAGATTTGAACTGTCCTTGGCAACTATGTGAGTTCTGTGCTTTGTTTTACATGATGCTCTTCTTTTTGCGTACTTTCCATTTTGTAATGTGGAGGTAGAAAAAAAGATTAACCATTTTTAACTTCTCTTTTAACAGGTTCTGTGACTGGCTGCCACATAATCTTTTCTTCGTTCAGTCGTAACTACCCGAACAGGCAGTCAAGCGATCAACAGCAAAGATGCTTCTTTTTTCAGGGACAGAGGAACACTGCTTATAGTATAGTTTGGCCAGCTGTGGTTTCTCCAGCTCACCAAGTTCCTAAGGTACTGCAATTTCTGTTATCCAATCTGTTAGTCAGTCAGTATAGAGTTTTCGGCTGTCTACCATGTTGGGGTATCTAGTTATTAGGGATTTCAAACCTGGGGCTTGCTCAGTTATAGTAGTATAAACATGGAGTAATATCTGTCGGTACTTCTGGGTCCAAATTCTTGTTTTGGACAATTATAGGCAGTCCTACCAGAAGTCAGTAGGAATCATTCATGATCATCTGAGTCCTTTTCTGTATAAATCTTTAGCAAGATAATTATAAAAATGTTTATATTTTGCTGAAGGTTTTGTTATTTGGTTATGTCAGATTTAAGAAGGGAATATACGGTACCTGCTGGCAGCAGCCCTGCTACCCCACTGCACATTCTAAACTCGAATTCTTTTTGCCTGAGTGTTTTTTTTCCTTGCAACATACTTTTATTTTTATTTACTTTAGAGCCAAAAGGGACTTTTTTTTGCAAATGCAAATTTAACATGTGTTCCACTTCTGGTTTCCTTTTTTTCTTTTCTTTTTTTTCCTTATTTAGTTACAGCATACAGATTAACTGTTTAGTTATCCAAAAGAAACCAAAGTACTCTTTCTAAACAGTGCTTTTAAGGATGTGCATTAGTACTTTTTTAAATTTTGCTTCTCATTTTATTATAGATTTGTTAGGTGAAATATAAAGTATTTCCATGGGCCAGAAATACTAAAAAGTTTTTAGATAGGAAAGCAGATAAGAATGCTGGATGTAGAGGCTGTGGAAGCTCTGTATGCAGCAAGAATATAGGGTTACATGCTCTATATATTTTCAAAAGTTTAATAGTCGTAGAATTTACAAACTTTATTTTCTGTATTTAGATGCTTCTTTCAGGATAAAGAAGGAGAAATATATTGTCATAATGAAAAATTGGCTTCCCAGATCAGAGTTCTCAGACTGTCTAAAAGTCAGTCCATGTCTATGAACTCTGAAAACTTGAGGGCAAAGTTATTTTTTTATACAGGGTATGCCAGAAATCACTCTAAAATAACATGGTCTTTTTTAAGATATTGGTATGAAACTGTCCACGTAGACATTTGAATGTACACTGCTTTGGGCTTCTCCCTTAATAGACCATAGAGGTCAGTAGGGTCATGTCTCTGCAGTTACTGGGTAAATGCCCTCCACGAGCAAAGCGAGGGTGGTGCTGTCTATGGAGTTGCTAATCCAGCAAATGGTGGGTTGTTTTTTTTTTTTTTCTAAATTGAAGCCCAAACTACTGCAATAGGATGTTGTTAGGGTTGATATGCCATTAATTTGAAAGAAATGGAAATCTGAAATTCTGTTGACATAAGTCGACTAAAGATAGTTTCACTTTTTATCAGATTAGAAATTAAATACCTGTAGGAGTAACAATAGTCTTCCTATTTGAAGTCCCAGTAGAGCTTAGTAGTTGCCCCACTCTTCTGTACTCGTATACCCTGTAGTTGTATGGTTGTATTGAGTACAGCCTAAGTGCCTACTTTTTTTTTCTGCCTGCCAGCTTGAGTCTGTATTTTGTGAAGTCAAGAGCAAAGCTTGTCCTGTGGCCAGTGTGGCAGAAAATCAGCCCGGCTGTTGTGGGCAAAGGGATTCTTCTACAGTCAGTGAAACAGCCCAGGACTCTCTGAGAGAAAGTGCATTGCCATCTCTGCGTGGAAAAAAATGTTCTTATGTGGAAAAAATGATGTTTAATACATTTTCCTTGACACAGCGAATCAGGATACCCTTGTGTAATATTGTAGATGGACGAGTTTTAGCATATGAACTAGATTAATAAGTAAAACCCTCTGAGTTAAAATAAGTTAAATCCTAAGGTTCTTAGTCAAAAAGCAACCTCATGCAAGTTAATAGGAGTTTTAT